AGGGTGACTGTGGTATTGACCAGGCCAGTCTCTTCATTATGGTCTCACAGTGCCTGCAATTTGCCGAGCGTCTTCGCTACCACCCAGGCATTGACAGTTTTGAGTCCGCCATGGATGGTGGTCGCTGTGGTCTCGGCACCGCAGCGGCGGATCTCCGGACAACTCGTCAGTTCGCCTGGGTAGATCGCCTTCGTGAGGTCTACGACCGTCTGTGTGGTCAGGTGAGTTACCTCCTGAGGGGGGTTGTTTCGCAGCAGGATTCTGTCTGCCTTAAAAGCTGTGCGCGTTACTTACTGTTTATCTGCAGCCATTTCAGTCGCAAATTCTTGCTTTTTGCTATTTGTTGTTACTAACAGTAATGAGGTAGTAATATTCTTCTCGGGTGATGGCCGCCACACCGCAGTCGAAGACGCGTCCTATTGTTTTTTATTGTGGAAATATTTGCTAAGAGTCGACCCCGCTCTGCCCTTGGCTGAGCCGGTCACCACTTGCTCGAGTGGATTTTGGGGCACTCACATCATCGCATACCTTTATCTTTCTTGTACTTTATACGACTGTGATCAGGCCTCATCTAGCCGGCCTCAGTGATGTCATGGACTGTACCTCTTCACGCGTGACGATTAGCGGCAGCAAATCTGGACAGTTCCACCCATTTTCTGCTCCAATGACGGAGACCGAAGGTCCAAGAACCGTGTTCATAAACTGTATCGAACCAAGTTTTGAGTTGTCCTCCCTTTCGACGCCTCTAGGTGGGCTGTGGCGCCAGATCGAGGGCAGTTTAACAAAGCTCGTGAGGTGGACGACCGATCGCATTCCTGTCGGCCTACAATATCCGTTTAGAGTCTGACTTTTGCCCTGAGGCGCGCGCGAGGCCCTGGCTTTGTGTGGGACAAAAAAGCTATTTTGGCCATTGTTTAAATACACACCCAAGACCCTACTTTATGTTTTTTTTTGAGTTTTATATTAAGTGCCACGACCAGGCCCCAGTTCCAACATGTTGACATGACCAACGCGGCCTGGGCATCCAGGCAAAAATAAAATTTGCAGCATGTACTTTGGGGCTCAGGCTGGCCTGTATGGACGTCTCCAGCTGACTGTTTAGCCTAGAACTTCCGTGTTGTGATCGTTTGGTTTCTGCCGGCCGGTTTAAGTACAAGTGGAGCGCTTCTATCTCTCTCGGGTGCAACTGAAATGGCTTAATCGTTTGGTAAAAGTGCATAGCTGGGCTGTGCATGTCTTATGGCATAACCTAGGAGCTCTGCATCACATCAACCCACTTGCGCCCATTTTGGGGCAACCTCCTGTGCTAGCAGTTATAGTAGTTATCGCAGTGGCTTAAGTTAGTAGAGATGGTCCTTGTCACTGCTATCTTCAGCCCCTGTTCCGTGTGAGAAGTGAAGAAGTCCAACGCCAGGTGGGAAGACTGGCATATTCTGTACAGAGGTAGTGAAGAATATGTTGGAGGAATTCGACGGTCCAACCAGTACCTGACCACCCGCGATGGGGCATAT